TTATAGATCCTTTGTCCCTTGCTTTCTCTCTTGATGTCTTCTTTTGTGATTTAATATCTTTTTGTGGTGGTATACTTTGTCTCTTATAATCTTTTGTGTATCTATTACAGGTTTTTCTTTTGTGGTTACCATGAGGCTTAAATAAAATATCTTATAGTTATATCATACAATTTTAAACATAAAAACAACTTGAAGAGCATACATACATGTCACTTTTCTTTCTCCCCCATCACACTTTAGGTTATTTATGACACAATTTACATCATTTTTATATTGTCTATCCAATACAAATTATTATAGTTATAGTCATTTTTAATACATTTGGTTTTTTTCAACTTTTAAACTACAGTTGTAAGTGATTTACATAGCAGCTTTACAATATTAGAGAATCTGGCTTTGACGATATATTTACTTTTGCTGATAAGTTTTAGAGATTCATGTTTTATGATGTTAATTAGCTTCCTTTTATTTCAGTCCGTAAAATGCCCTTTAGCATTTCTCGTAAGGCAGGTCTAGTGGTGATGACCTCGGTCAGTTTTGTTTGTTTGGGAAAGTCTTTATCTCGCCTTCATTTCTGAAGAACCACTTTGCCAGGTATAGTATTCTTGTTTGCCAGTTTTTTTCTTTCAATATTTTGAATATATCATTTCACCCTTTTCAGGCCTGCAAAGTTTCTGCTGAGAAATCTGTTTATAATCTTATGAGTGCTCCCTCATGTTTGTTGAGTCTCTTTTCTCTTGATGCTTTCAAAAATCTCTTTGCCATTGACTTTGGACAATTTAATTATAATGTGTCTTGGTGAAGCCCTTTTCAGGTTCAATCTGTTTGGGGTCCCTTGAGCCTCATGTATCTGAATGTCCATTCCTCTCCCAATGTTTGGGAAGTTTTCAGCCACTATTTCTTTAAATAGATTTTCTGTCCCTTCTCTTTCTCTTCTCCTTCTGAGATTCTAATATCGAGTATGTTGTTTCTCTTCATTGTGTCCCATAATTCTGGTAGGCTTTCTTCACTGTTTTTCATTCTTTTTTATTTTAGCTCCCCTAAATGGTTAATTTAACATGACCTGTGTTTGAGTTCAGGTTCTTTTGCTTGGTTGAATATGCTCTTGAAGATTTCTATTGAATTCTTTCGTTCAGTCATTAAATTATTCAGCTCTAGATTTCTGTTAGGCTTTCTTTTTTTGATAGATTCTATTTCTTTGTTGAACTTCTCATTTTGGTCATGCATTGTTTTCCTAATTTTATTTAGTTTTCTGTCTGTTTGTTCTTTTAGTTTGCCGAAGCTCTTTAACAGTATTATTCTGAATTCTTTGTCAGACAGTTCATAGATCATACGCCACTCATCAAGCCATGTTGTGGTGGTGACCCACATACAAAATAGAGGAAGACTGGCACAGATGTTAGCTCAGGGCCAATCTTCCTCACCAAAAACAAAAAAGTAGCATGAGAGATACTTGTGATATGGAAATGTTCTGTATCTTGAAACTGAGTGTGTATTCATTTGTTTACAGTCAATTCAAGTTTGCCCTTTTGTGAATTTCCTGCTATCATCCTTGCTCATTTTTAATTGGATGATTTGTTTTCTTATTGATTTAATTTGTTGCATATTCAGGATTAATTATTTTATGGTTATAAGCATCAGAAATATCTTACTCTAGTTTTTGGCTTGTTTATAAACTGTCATGTCAAATGTACTAATCTTTTCCTTTTGTGTGTGTATGCTTTTTGTATCTTAAGACATCTTCCCCTGCTGTGATGTCATAGAAGTATTTCTTTTAAATATTTAATTTTTTATATTCAGGTTTTTAATGTATTTGAGCCTAATTTCTGTACATATAACTTTATTTTCTTTCTCCACATGGTGAGCTCTCCATTCTGAGCTGTTCTGTTTCTTTGATCCATTTGTCTATGCCTGTGCCAATACCGCCCTTTTTGAATAGATATAGCTTTATGAGTCTTGATAATGGTAGGACAGATTTTTATCTTGCTGCTCTTGCTAGAATCTTCAGCACTTATAAGAAGTATCCTGTTTTTCTTCCAGGCTGAAGAGGAATGCTTGTAACATTACAGCATTAAGTTTGATGTTTGCTCTGAGTATTTGGAAGGCATTATTTTTAAAGATATCATGAATGATTAATTGATTGATTTTATCATATGCTTTTCCTGCACTTATCATGGTTATCATATGATACTGTTCTTTTAATTTGTTAATGTGATGAATTCAATTAATAAATTATCTATTGTTAAATCTTCTACAAGGTTTTGGGATAAATCTTACTTGATATGACATTATTTTAAAATGCTTCTTTGGATTCAGTTTGCTAATGTATTATTTAGGATTTTTGCATCTGTGTGCATTAGTGACATTTGCCTATAATTTTTCTGTTTTGTACCATCTTTATGTGGTTTTAATAATCAGGGTTATATTTGCTTCATAAAATGAGTTGGGGAGTCACCCCTCTCTATTTTCCGGAGGAGTTTTTAATAGATAGGTATTATTTGGTTTTTGAAGTTTTGGCATATTTTAGCTAGCAAGCTGAAAATATATTTTGGGGAGAGAGTAGGTAGGGAGATGTTTGACTACCAGTGCCATTTTGTCATCATTATAACTCTATTCTGGTTTTTCACCTCATTGAACTTATTCTTCAGTTGTATATGTTTTTCTACAGAATTATCTATTTCGTCTACATTGTCGAATTTATTCGATTGCATTGTTCATAGTATTCACTTATGATTTTTAAAAACTACTTCATCTCTAATTCTGTATCTGCACCTAATATTGTTTATTTATACCTTCATTTTCTTGTCTTGTCTTTACTTTTTTGAGGACTGATTGGACTAGGGTTTGTCATTTTAATAGTCTTTTCAAAAACTTGAGTTTTGACTTTACTAATCCTAGTGTTCTTTTTCTCTATTTCATTAGTGTTTTCTCTTATTGCAATTATTTCCCTCTTTCTTTTGTCTTCATGTTTAGTCCATTATTATTCTTTTAACTCTTGTTTTGAAAGCTCATTTTATTAAGTTTTAATCCTTCTTATTCTCTAATACATTCATTTAATGCTATAAATTTCTCTCTAAAGACCTGCTTTAACATCCTCCTGACATTTAAATATGTATTATTTTTGTTTTTATATTTAGTTCTTAATATTTTATCATTTACCTTAGGGTTTTTATTTTCTCCATAAAATATTTATGTGAGTGCTTTTAGTTTCCAAGTGTTTTGGTGTTTGAGACTGTTTTTGGCTATTTATTTTTACTTTTATTGCCTTTTGTTTAGAGAATTTGTCCTGTGTGGGGTTTTTTGTGTTTCTTGTGGCCTAGCACATGGTCAGCTTTTTAAGTGTTCCTTGTATGCTTAATAATAACTTACATCCCCTCAGTTTTGGGGGTTCAGAGTTCTATTTATGTTTTTTCAGGTCAATTTTACTAATTTTCTTATTCAAATCATCTTTTTCTATTGAATTTAAGTCTGTCTCATCCATCAATTTCTGAGAGAAGTATGAATTTATCAATTTCTGTGATCCATTCTTTCAAACTTTGCATTATTTATGTTGAGGCTCCATTATTAGATATACATAGGTTCAGAATAATTTTATTTTCCTAATGAATTATTTATCAATAAGTAAAAACACTTAATACTCCTAAATATGTTTTTGTCTTAAAAACCTCTCAGATAGTAATTTAGTTATACCAGCCTTCTTTGGCTTAGTATTTGCCCCAGTATATCTATTTAGAGTCTTTCATGTTTTTTAATTTTTTTTTATTCTCGAAACGTTAGCTGCCCTACGCTTGGGGGTGGCTGTGCCACAATCTCCCTAAACTCTCTTTCTGGTGAGCTTATCCTGTCACAATGCCTCCCATATTTCCAAACCTGACATCCCACTTGAACTGCAGATGCATTTTTTTCAGCTATCTGAATGACACTAATAGGCATCTCAGATTTTACATGCCATGCGTTTCCCACCCTTCCTCCCCAGATGTGCCCCTGGCAAAATCCCCAAACTAAGAAATAGCACTACCATCAACCCAGGTGTTCAAGTCCAAACACCAGAACCGAGGTTATTTTCATTTCCCATTTCTCACCTCTGGTCCATGAGCAAATCTTCTTGATTCATGCAAATGCATCTGGAATTTGTCTGGTCTCTTCATTTCCTCTGTCACCACCACAGTTCCAGCTACCATCATCTCTCTTCTGGACTAGCTACATTATCTCCTAACTTGTCTCCCAGCTTCAACTCTCCTGACCCCTCTACATTCTTCTAAGCAGCCAGAGTCACTGACAACATTCAGGGAGAATTATTGTACGTTATAGTCAATATCACAAATTTGACTTTCAGCCTTGACATTATATTTTTCACTCCTTCTATTGATGTAATTTGGGGTTTTGGGTACCATGGTACTTTAATGGAAGAAAGGGGACAATTGAAGGAAAAAACAATATTTGGATGTTTTGTAAGGGCAATATGCAGGTCCAGCACGGTGACCTGGGAAGTCACTCCCGTGTCTATGGGAAAGTCAGCCTAAGGCTCAGTTACCATTATCACTGTTGCCCAGGGTGAGCTTGTCAAAGAGATAGTCTGCCAAGCTGGCTTTTGGGGTCTCCACTTTGCTATCTAGTTAACAAGCAATAATATTTGCATATTTTATTAATCAAAAAAATTTCACGTAAAATTTAAGAACCCTTTGTTTTAATCCCTGCCCAATCCCATTCCCTTCACTCCTTCCCCAGAGGCAATTGGGGAATCACAATTGTGATTTTCAGGCCACGTTTTTAGGCTTTTACCATGCACAGGTACCCACATTCACCAGGGTCCCAGACCAGCCACCCCACACCACCACTTTGTTTATGAGGGGAAGATTAATTTTGTGTTTCCCAGGGTCCCATGGAATACCTTCTCCCTCCATCCACAGAGATCCCGAGCTGCATGTGGATGGGACGTGGGTGGGCGGAGAGACTCCTGGATACCTGACTTAAAACTTAAAAGAGGAGATCTGCACACATGAATCAAGGACAGAGCTTTATTTATTTAGGAACCACATAACTGTATTGGAAGAAATGGCAAAACTGGAAGAAAAAAAAAGTGAACGTTTTGCAAGGGCAATATTGCAATATGTATGCTCGGTATGGTGATCAGGGGAAGTCACCCTGTGGCTCTGGGGAAAGCAGTCCAAACTCAGTTCTTACTGCCGTCCCCCAGGGTGAGCTTGTCGAAGAGGTACTCTGCCAGGCCGTCTGCTGGGGCCCCCATCTTGAGCAGGTTGGTGAGATGGTCCCCCAACTCCTTCATGGACTTGACTTCCTCGAGCAGGAGGTGACTCTCCAGGAAGTGGCACAGATGGGGATCCGCCTTGTCGGTGGCCAGCTGGTGCAGATCGAGCAGGCTCTGGTTGACGTTCATCTCCAGCTGGAGCACACACTCCACGGCCTTCAGGCCGCTCTCCCAGTTGTTGCGGTCTGGCTTCTTGATGTCGTGAAGGCAGATGCGGCCTCCGCGCTGGATCTGCAGCTGCATCAGCCTCTCGGCGTGCTCCCTCTTCTGGCGAGACTGCTGCAGGAACAGCTGGAAGAAGTGCTTCAGGGCCACGTCGTCCCTGTCGAAGTAGTAGGCCATCGACATGTACACGTAGGAGGCGTACAGCTCCAGGCAGATCTGGCCGTTGATGGCGGCCTCGCAGTCGGGGTGGTAGTTCTGGAGCACCTGCGAAGGCTGCGCGGTCGCCATGGCTGGAGGCGCGAAGGCGAAGGCGACCTCAAGTTGTTACCAGAGTGGGTGATGAAGGCGCCGCTCTGGCTCAGCGGCAGCACTGGCTCGTGACCAAAATGGCGTCACACCAAAGTGCGAGCGTTGGTTACGTTGGGGGGGTGGGGCGGGGGGCATCCGTTACGTTCCAGGGGGATCCGCTACGTTGCTTTACATTACGTTCCGGTGGGCCGGGGAGGAGGCAGCGGCGCGAGTGCAGTGTTCCGGGTTCCATCGGGGCCTGGCTGAGGCAGGGCTGCTGTGTGCTAAGCGTCTGGGCTATGTAATGTTTTAGAATGTTATTCATGAGTATAGATGCAACCATTTTGAGTTAATCGCTTGCATGATTTCTTTGAGCAGTTTATTTGAATATTGTCCTACTGTGGTTGTTTCATTAAATATAGTGCTTTTGGGGTCTTATTAGTTATGTTTAATATCGCACAGTTTTATTTGAATGTTAGATAAACGAGTGATTTCAACATCCATACTGATGACACTTCTGATAGCCTCCTCACTCGGTTCCTAGACTTAGTAACTCCAGTGACCTCCGCTTTTCTCTTTCTAGTCATGGTCTAGTTCATGCTGCTCTGACAGGAGAGCACCACCTCTAGAGCCTCAGTGAATCTTTCCACCTCTCCATCTTTCACTCTTTCTGAGCTTGTTCTTCACTCCCTTTATTCTCTCATCTCTTAATCTTTCAGCACAGTCCTAGAAGCACGTTCCTTCTGCCCTGTCTGGAGCCCGGTAGGACAGATTCAATGATCTCATCGCTGATATCCTAGATTTGCTCTCCCCCTTCACCTAGCTTGTCAATTTCCTTCCTCTTGGCTAAGTACAGACTTCTCTTTTCTCTGGCAGAAAACAAAAGGTTTAGGTGCATTCTTAGAGAAAGCACTTACCCTCAGGGATGTATTCATTCCCTCCAACCTCATTTGTTCTTTCACTGACACTCAACAAGTCTCTTTTTTAAGCCCAATTATGTTCTATGTAATGAGCCACCGTGGTAGGGAATACCACTGATCTCAAATGGCCTTTCATTCATTCATTAATTCATTCAACAAATACTTATTGATTACCTAATATGGCCCAGGCACTGGTCTAGGATTTGGGCATATAGTAGTAACAAAGAGAAACAAAGTCTCTGTTCCCTTGGGGGTTGTATTCTAGTGGAGAAGCAGACCAAAACAAAACAAAACAGAATAAAAAACTACCATTTTCTCCCCTTATTGTCTCAAGTAAATACATACAAGATATTACACTTGTGCATGGAAATAAAAAAGACAAAATATATTCTTAGAATTCAAGGATATTATAGTGGAAGACATAAGACCAACCTAGGTATTTATAATTAATTTATTTGTGCATTAATTCAACAACCACTTATATACTCCAAATATGTGTCAGATGCTGTGTTTGATTCTGGAGATGCGCAGAAGAATCAAATGAGGTCTCTGTTCTCAAGGTGCAAGATAGAGTGACAGAATATTATAAGTACTCTCAGGTAAAGTTAGGATAAGAAGCCTATTTTCACGTAAAGGGTTAATCCCATGGCTTTGATTAATGCACCTTTTTTGGTCTCTTTATTTCTCTTTTGAAAGCTTATGCTATTTTATGATCAGAGTTTATGAAGAAAGCAAAGGATCACATATCAAATATCACGATGTAAACTTATGTAAACAGTTTTAGAGGCGTTTAATTGTTGATTCTGTAAGGAAATAGAATAATAACAATGTCTATTTGATAATTGATTTTAGTAATAGAATCACACACTAGAGATGGAAAAGAACTATGTGATCAATTTCTCAATGAGATAAAATTGTATTCTATATTTGCTTACACCAGTGTTTAGTCTTAATATAATTGTAGACTTTCAAAATTTCCTTGGGAGACTCCATTTTAGACTTCACTGTAAGAATCTATTTAAGTAGAAGAGGTCTTGATTTTGTAGAACGTTTTCTCATTATGTCCCAAGATTATTTAATAATTAATTTATCCCTACAATTTTACTCTTCAAATACTTAAAATAATAATACTATTGAATGGTTGTGGATATACTAAGGGGTTTGTCTAGCCCCACGCCCAGTTGGGTGAGCAGTGTGGGACAGGTGCGGAGAGACCAAAGAAAAGACCCAGAGACAGTCAACAAGATGTATAGGTTTATTGGGAGTTACTTACAGGGAATGTGCAGTGGTGGCCAGCTGGATGGAAGTGTGCACCCGCGATCACGAGTAGGGAGGGGGTTGCTTATATAGGCAGAGCACAAAGGCTATATGCTTGCCCAGAGGGGCTGTCCCTGGTTTGGCCAGCGTTCCCAGGAACAATAGCTCACGTGGAGGGGCTCTGTGTTCCTTTAAGACCTGATGTTCTTTGAGTGAGATAAGATCTGGGCTGGCCAGGCCCTGGATCTTTACAAATTCCAGCAGCTGGGCATCGTGCCCAGAAGAGGGCCAGAAGGATACATGGTTGCAATGGGCTTACGGGCTCTTGCTGAGCAAGCAAGGCCCAGGCCCTACGGGGTGATAATGGTGTTTCTCAGATACTTCATCCTTCATCATTACTTCCCAGGGAAGAAGGTAACGGTAAAATATTTATTATAAGTGAGAGAAACCTGAGCTTTAAAAACTAACTTTTCTAAGGGAAATCAGGAAACAAGCATAGGCTGGGACCTTAAATTTCCATGAAGGAAATATACATATGTATAGACAAGAGCATTCCATCCAGTTTTTCTTTAACGAGAAATATAAAACTAAATACCAACATAGAATGACAAAACTTTAGAGCAGATCATGTGTTTTAAAAATATGAATATAGGACTATAAGATAAAGGTTTCTTTGAAATGTTTGTAGTCACTGTTTGTATTGTATTAGTGTTAGTCATGATTCTCCAGAGTAACAGAACCAGCAGGAGATATGTATATGGAATTGGCTCACGTGATTACGGAAGCCGACAAGTCCCAAAACCTGTAGGTAGCAAACTTCAGACCCAGGAGACCCGATGGTGTAGATCCAGCCCAAAGGCCAGCAGGCTGAGGACCCAAGAAGTTCAAGTTGAAGGCAGGAAAAAAACAACATGCCAGCTTGAAGGCAGTCCAACGGGAGGCGTTCCCTCTTACTCAGAGGAGGGTCAGCATTTTTGTTCTATTCAGGCCTTCAATTGATTGTATGACGCTCACCCACATTCGGGAGAGCAAACTGCTTTACTCAGTCTACTGTTTCAAATGTTAATCTCGTGGAAAACCACCCTCACAGGCACACACGGAGTATTTGACTAAATATCTGGCTACCCCATGGCCCAGTCAAGTTGACATATAAAATTAACCATCACAGTATTATTTATAATAAATGCAGAGTCATTAAATAAAGATTCTAGTGAAATAATGTGCGAAAACTCTTTTGACTTTCAGTTCCCTTCATCATTTAAACCTGTTACAGAACTAGTAGTTACACAACTGTTATTAGGCAATAAATTCTGACTCAGTGTCAGTGATTAGCTCTCATTCATTCATTCAGTGCATTTCTACTGAGCACCTATTATACGTTAGGTATTTTTATAGGTACTAAACACAAAAACTTGTGCTATAAACTCCTCATATTTGCATTTTTTGCAGCTGAGTGCTATTCAATGTTCCATATAATCCCATCTTTAAAAATTAGTGCATGCACTAGGCTTGATGATGTATTCATAAGGAAGTGGACCATGAGTAGCGGCAGTTGGTGGCTTATCTCACTCTCCATATATGTATGTGTGTGTGTGTGTGTGTGTGTGTGTATGTGTGTGTGTGCATGCGTATGTATAAACCAATCATTTAATGAGGGGTCGTGAAAAGTGATATATCAATCCAAAATCATTATTATCTATCAAGTCAAAATCAATATTATCTGTCTTTGAGCTGTTCACTCTACATTATCTCATTACAGATACCCTCTGAGTTACCTTTTATTATTATCACCTGTATTTTACAGATAAAGAAATTGTAAATTAGAGAGGATGTAACATGCTCAAGTACACGTCTTGTAAAGCAGAGAGTGACACTCTGAACTGGATTCCTCTCTAGATAGTTCGGAAAATTTCCCTGGACCATGAGCTCCTTTAAGACAAAGACTGTTTAACTTGATGATGCTAAATTTCACATAATAGGGGCTCAAAAATATGAATTAAAGTAATGAGTGGCCTATTAAAAGTTTTAGTCTCATTATTTCTCCAAATTAAAGCAATGAGAGAGAGTAGATGTTGAATATATATTTAAACTGTGTTTCCTTTAGAAGGAAAAATAATCAAAGACACTCAATTGTGACAAATTACTATTGTAATTTTACTCTAATATGCATAAACATAAAACGAGATATAAAAATCTGTAAACTTAAAGGTATGCTTTTATAACTGTAAAACTAACAATTTATATATATGCAAATACAACTATAAAACTAATAAAATTAAAATTAAGAAATTCCAATTATGCATCAGATTATGCTTTTTGCCTTTAACACAATTACTTCTCGCTGAGAATAGATCTAGTTGCCAAGATGCAAGTTTTCTTTTGAGTGTGCCGTGCTCACTATACACGAAACATCTCACTTCTTGACCATTCTTCTTGACTGAAATGATTGACACGCTTTAGCTCATATGATGATTCATATGAAGAGGGTTCATAGGGAAGAGGCTGCTGAAACTGCTTTCAGGTAGTGGAAGCCATCACTTAAATACTGTCTATCTGTGTTCTTTTTTTATTGACTTGTGAAATGTCAAGTGATACTTTATTCCGATGCTGTTTGTTGATTTCGTGAAGTATCACTAAAAGTCTCAATACTTTCAATAAGTGAAGGGCTGATGTTTCATTCTATTAAACTATTTTTCGTTTTCCAATCATTGCTTTGAAAGGAAATTTTAGTCTTTACAACTAGTAAAATAAATCAATAGGACCATAAGGGTAGACATGGGACAATTGTCACTTTTACACCAGGGCATGCCAAACTAGCAGCAATCACACTCAGCATGATTCAAAACATGCATGCAAATGTGGATAATGTATCTGTGTGGTTGTATTGAGCTATAAAGAGATCAAGATAATCCTGAAAATGCTTCCGGTAATTTTTCATTTAGATGTAA